AAAAAAAAAAAGAATTGGGGGTATACCTGAATGAGAAAGTGTCCCTGGGTTCAATACCTCCTTGCTTCTAGTTGTAGACTCTCCAAAATATACACATCTTCACAAATTCATGAAAATTTGAGAACATACATAAATGTTGAAAGAACTATCATCTATCTGTCATTCAGATTTCATAATTAAAGTGTTAATACATATAAATCCCTCTATCCATTTATCAATCCATCTTACTTTTGATGCCTTTCAAAGTAGGTTGCAAACCATCATATACCTCACTCCTAAATACTGGAGAACACATATACCAGGACAATTTTTTTAAAAAAGAATAATCCTATATTTCTTTGAAATGTAAGATGGATACATTATCTAAATTTATTCAGATAATAAAAATTTAAGGTACAAATTGTACATGTTTGGGAAAGATCTTTCTTGAGGGAAATTCTGAATCTAACAAAATCACAGCCACTGTACACATCTGTACTGATTAGGTTCTGCATCATGAATTATGAGTCTCATCCAAAATATTCTTAAAGAAAACTGATGATCTTTCCTCTTACCATCTGGTGACCAGATTAAGATACCATCATCTTAACTAGTTACATGAAAGGGGCTATACCTTTCAGATGACTCAGGCAAAGTCAGCGTCCTCAAATACCTCAAATTGCTCAGTCACACATCTGGTATTTGGAAGACCCTTTACTTAACATGCTAACCACTCTATTAAATTCTCCAAATGCTCAATCTTGTCAGCTTGATCATCAGATCCAAATGGTCAGTACCCAGGGTGGCAGTCTTTATAAATCAGCATTAAAAACCTAAAAAATGACCTTTTCAGTTATCGTTTTACTCATTCACATATATTTTCAAGACACTTTTGTTCATTTTCAAACTAAGAATCTCTTTATAAAATTTTTTAATTTTAGAAAGCCAATTTTGCCTTGGTTTAAAGAAAAACATTGCAATAATTTTGCAATAATTTTATTTGGCCACTAGAGGGCAGGGGTTCCCTTCTGCTTTGGTTCACTCTGTGCTTTTTTCCCACTAGCTAAAATACAAGATTTAGTTAGGGAAACTGATATCCCATCTTCTGAATTTTATTTCCTGGTAATTTGTTTCTTTGGATCCTAAGAGTCTTTCAAATATTAATAAAACACATCTCTGGTTCTTTTGTTATCATAATTTCCACTACTATATGAAAGTATTTTGTGCTTATTTTATTTAAACTCACAAAAGTGAATATTTAGGAAAGCCTGGGAAATAAAGTCATAAGTGTTGATTTCTGCTGATTCTTTGAGTGGCACAAGGAATTTGACATTTACATTTCTGCTCACATACCCATATGTTGAGAATTATTCTACATTTCAATCATATAAAAAAGTTAAATTATAGTAATTATATTACTATAGGTGCTTTTTCATTTTTCAGATCTTACATTTAATCATTTTATTGACTTTAACTTTTTACATACGAATGCCTTTTTAGTGCAACAAAGCAATCTCTTTGAGAATCATGTTCATGTTTATATGAACATGAGTTATCAATTTACTAATTCACTTGTATTTTCAATTATGTTATTCCTGTGTTTCCTTATGTTGTTATTCTCATAGAATACAGAGTGAAGTACTAGTTTAAAGATTTAGGATTTAGATGACAGCACACATTCAAATACCACTTCTCCTGACCTCTGGCCAATTACATGACTTTTAATTGTTTAGTAAAGACTTTTAATAATACCTCCAACTTCTTTACTTTATAATGGTGCTTAGACTGGGGCCCACCAACTGCCTAAAATAGGGCCAGTGCCTATAATAGTATCTAGCACAAGGTGATCTACCTCTGCTTTTATTACCAACTGCCATTAGGTAAATGTAATCAATTAAAATTTAAATACACAGCCCTTAGCAAAAAGCTTCAAATATTAGTCTGATATTTGCTATCATAGGTTTTCACTCAATAACATATAAAACTTGTCTCCAGAAAAACCATAAGAAGCCCTTTATAAGGTTCCAACTACACAAGGACCGCCCCCCCCCAAATTCCTTAGCCCAGCATTTAATATCCATGCTTCTTACCTGCCTTCTTCTCTCCACTTTTGTGGCCAGGGGACGTTGGGGACTATGGTGAACTGGAGAAGGTTGCTTCCTGGCCCACTATGTTTCCCGAGCACCCCTGTCCCTTTAGGATAGCTAAGGACACATCATCGCTTGCCCTGACAGTCTCAGGATTCTAGGCAAACCCTGCTCCTCTTAACAGTGGGTATAAATTGGCAGCTTCAGGACCTAATGTGGTCTGAAGATGTGCTTTCTCTAGCTTCTCGGTGAAGGGAAATAGTGAGAGTTCATATACAAATTCAAATTTCCAGGTTTTTTTTTTTTTTTCCCTAAACCTGGGTAGCAATAGGTTGAATCTGAGTTAACAACTGCCACATTTGTAGGAGATCTCTTTCCGGCTTTGGGTGGTGCTGCATTAAATCTAGTCCACTTTGCTTATCAACTGCTATTCCAAATATGTTGCAAATAGTGCCCCTGGGTCTGTGTGGTGCAGCCCAGGCTGTCTGCAGGCATTATCAGGTGTGACTAAGCATTTCTTCAGATGTACGGGCCACCTTCCTTCTTTGCTGGCGAAGTAACTAATATTGTGAACTTGGGCCCCACCTTCATGAGGTCTGGGGGCTAGGAAGCTTGGGCCCTACTGTGTTCAAGCTGAGAGACAAAGGCTAGCCATTAACTTTGCTAACAACCCAGTAGTCAGTCTGATGCTCCCTTCGCTTCATCTGTGCAGCATAAATGCATTTCTTTTATGAATGTTGTGGTCAACCATCTATTCTTTTTCAGACTTCTCCAGGGCCATCCATAAACCCAGGCAGGTCAAGAACCTAAATGAGAAAGGAGGGAGTAATCCCATAAGGCAGAGAAACTTTTCAGTTCTAGCCCATTGTGGGTGTAGAGGTCCAGTGTTGCCAAATATGATTGTTTAAGAGAAACAAGGGATCCATTTTCTAAAATTAAAACCTGCGCTGAAAAGTTTGGTAACATTGGGTGAGCCAACAAAAACACAGTCCACACCCTGCATTTGGACCAGGAGCCACGTGTTCACAATGTCTGCTGACCAAAGAATACACAGTCCTTCCACTCGGCGTATGATTCTGGGAAAATTTTCCTGATAGGTGTTAACTAAATAAAGTGATCATGCTGAAAGTTACCGATAGAAGCAGCCATTTTCAAAGGACAGCGCTCTCTACACAAGCTTGTTTAGGCTCCAGGCTTCCTTCTAAATGTCCCTCCACAAGTACCAAGGCTCCCCTCTTCTACCTCAATGCCACCAGCCGGAAGAGCCCACTGTTTGTAGGCAGCGATTATTTGTTGACTTAAAGTAAGTTTTGCCATTATGGAAAGCCGGCTGGCACTCATGTTTTAAAGATGCTTTGGGGGATGGATTAAAAAAAAAAAAAAAAAACTTGCTATTTTCATTTTTATCTTACCTTTGATGAAAGTGTTTCCATATGACAGTCTGTTTTTTGTAATGACATGCCAAAATGTCACAATGTTGGGCTTCCAATGCCTTCTGAAAAAATATATTTCCTAACGTGTTTTGTAAGTGGAGTACAAAGTAGAACATCAGAATAACCTCATTGTCGCTAAAACCTGCCACCACGAACTCAGAAGGATATTCTAATGAAGAGCCACAGTGTTCACAGTATTGACAAGCATCACTTCATAGTGTGTAATGACGAAGGCAATTATTTTATCAGGATTGGCATTTATTCAGCAATAATTTATTAAGTGGAGATGGTGTATAGCTGCTGGAGTGAGTGGAATGGAGATTTAATAAGCATTCATGCATTTATTAGTATCCATGGATGGTGTTGCATAAACATAAATGTTTTATTTACTGAACACACACATATTTGCTCTGTACCAGGAAACATTCCAAAGACTTCATAAATATTAACCTATTTGCTCCCCTAAACAGCCTTGCATGATCAATAATATTATGATCCCCAACATTTGTATATCCTTTTTCTATAGAAACAGAGACACCAAGAATAAGTGCCCAGTATCATTTAATTCACTTCATCACTTAATCATCACTAGGAAGTGGCAGAGACAGAATTCCAAGCCAGGCAGGTCTAGCTCCAAAATCTGTGCTCTTTTTATTTACCACATCAATTAGTTATTTACATGAAACAAAACAATCCCCGAATTGAGTGGCTTACATTATGAACTACTTACTACTTTTCTTGAGCAGTTTTTTCAGAGGGGCACTACTGCTGATCTGGACCAGCCTCAGCATATCTTACAGATTCTCTGATGTGAATTGCCGATGAATAAACTGTGGACAGCTGAGACTGGCTAGCCAGAAGGACTGAGTTTCTCTACACAGCATCTCTCATCTCCATTGCTCTAGAGGAGAGGGTCTGAGAAAGAGCAGAAGAAATCACATGTGTCTTTACGATCCTCTGCTTGTGTGGAGTTTGCTACTACTCTCTTGTGTGTTTTTGCTTTGCAATACTGGAGTTTCAACCTGGGGTGCTTTCTCACTGAGATCCATCCCTCGGGGTCTTGCTAGGTTGCTGAGGTTAGCCTTGAGCTGCCGTCATGATTGATGAAAACAAACCACAGGGTCAGTTCTGGAGACAGTGAGGAAGGGCACTATGAAAGGGTCTGAATAACTGAGCCTTTAATTCCGTCAACCTGCCACGAATATGACTCCACACTATGCTACATTTGTCTTTCTTCCCAGTTAAAAATTAGATATTTTAGACTCCGAATGAGTTGTTGAGAACACTGTAACACCACACCTTGTTGGTTTAGGAAGGTAATACAAGTACAATAGGAACAGTAGAAAATGAAAGGCTCTTTATGATTTTAGGCTGATCCTGGGGAAACACCAACAGAGACTCCAAGCGAAACCAAGACGACTCCTTCAGAAAATGGGGTGAATCACACTACATCCCTGGCACCCAAACCACCTTCCCAGGCTCTGCACAGCCAACCTGCTCCAGGTAAGCCATGGGAATGCAGAGCTGCACCAGGTAATAAAGAGTGAAGTGTTGGTGCCACTGAAAGGGGCAGCGTAGTTCGGTGGCTGCGTGATTTCAAGTGCAAAAAGCAGCACAGACCTGCGTGAAGAGTGGGTGGGTGAATGCATGCATGCCAAGAGGACTCAGGGCTCCTGGGCTCCACTGGCCACTTGAAACTCCCCCAGGTTTCCTGTGTCTTTATTAGTGGTGGAATATGATCCGTCTGCTGGCAGGGTTTGTGAAGAGTTCTTCAAGCAACTTATAAACAACTCTGCTTTAGAAACACGTTCTCAGTCGTACTTCACTAAGTCTCTGCCAAGATCTCCTTTCCCTTACTCCAGCTTGCTTTTCATTACCCTTGAATGTCTACCATGTACTGTGCACCCTGCTTAGCCCTTCACCTGCATTATTTTATCTCACCCTCACACCAAGCCCCTATGAGGAGATTCTATTATTGTCCCCATTTTGCCGATGAATAAACTGAAATTTTTAGGTGATACAGTACCTCCTTAGCCTGTGGAAACCAATGGCAGGACAGACACAGTTCCTAATAGTTTTTGTGGATACTCCAGCCAAAGCTATGCTCATGTCACCTTTCTCAGAAAAATCCTTTGATTTCTCTGCAGCTCACTTGACCTTTAATCTTACATGGGTTTATGTAATCATCCCTCATTGTTATGTATGTCCTATTTCTGGTAATAGAAGGTGAGCTTCCTAGGATAAGCTTTGTATGTCACAGTGATGAAGGCTAGTGTGTGCCAGTATTTGACTTGTTAAACTTGATATTTTAAAATAATTTGATGAACAGAAAATGCTTTTTAATTGGCATAGGATACATGGCAGAAATTCTCCCTTTTCCCGAAAGTCACCATGTGGCAAGATCATGGTGCAACGTTCAAAAGCCGGGACATTAACACTGATACAGTATTCTGAGATGAACTGCGGACCTTGTTTGAACTTTGGCTGCTTTTTTGCTAATGTCCTTTAGCTGTCCCAGATTCTAACTCGGGATCCCACATTGTACTTGTAAGTTTTCTTGGTCTCCTTTAATCTATGGCAGACCCTAGTGTTTCCAGGTCTTAATAGCCTTGATCATTTTGAAGAATTCTAATGTTATTTTGTAAAATTCCCCCCATTTGAGTTGCCTAGATATATTCTCCTGAATAGACTTGAATCCTGAACTTTTAGGCAAGACCATCACAGAAGTTATGCTGTGTCCTTCTCGGTTCATCATATCAGGGGTGTGATGTTGATATGTCCCATCTGCCACAATGTGGGAGCACTTAGTTCAGATATTTTCTCCATGGAAAGTTAAGATTTCTGCTCTTTGATAGCCAAGGGAAGATGCTTTGAGACTATGCAAATATCCTGTTCATCCTTAAATTTTGGCAGCTGATCCATAAATGGATCTTGCCTGCAAGTGCTCAGCTTTCGATTTTTAAAAGACCTCTTGTCATTGCTTATTTGTCCAAAAGGTGGCATTAGTACTCCCTAAATGGAATTTGTTGTTTTGATCCAGGTGGAGGGTTCTTTTCTCTCTCTATATGTGAATGAAGCAGCTATATAATTTCACATATAATTAGGTTTGTCTCAAAATTACAAAACAAAGACTTTTTGGAGTAATCTTGTTATAAATAATTTTCTACCACCATTTTTCATTCTTAGAAACTTAGAATCAAGGACTCAAAAACTTAGAATCAAGGACCAAACTTTTTGAAGGTTATTTACTTTGCCTTTGTATTGCAGGTTCTGTCAAGGCTCCTGCCAAAACAGAAGATCTTATTCAGAGCGTCCTAACAGGTAAATACCACCCTTCCCCCACCCCAAGCTCCATGGAATTTTGTAGGTGAATATTAGACACTGTAAGTATTTAGAGAATCAATTTACATTTTTCTCTAAAAAATGATATCACTAATATTTCTTCTTTTAATAAAGATCTAATATTTCTTCTTTTAAAAAAATATATATAGGCCACATTACATGATGTAATCAGAGAGAAATAACCATAGTTAGTAAATAGGACCTTATTGGCATAAAAGTAATATATATTTTTTACAAGATAGCTATTTCAGAATCAAAGAATATATTCCTACTGGTTGTGGCCCTGTGAACAATAATGCATTTCTTCCTAAAATGCCAAAAATTAACTGTATTTTAGATATGCAGAATGTCACCCATTTGTGACCATAAAATGCATGGTGTTTAAGAACCGTGACACAGCTTAAAATTATTTTAAATTTGGCTAGTTTTAACTAAATTAGTGGTCCTAGGATCAGTATAAGCTTTCTTCAATACAATTTTCAATAAGTAGTAGAGTCCTAAAAATATTTAAAATATTTGATCCAATACACAACAGAAATGTACAAGCATGTTCACCAAAAAGAGCACCTGGGTAAAAGCCAAATGTCTACAACCAGAAAGATGTAAGACTCATGAATAAGTTGTAACAAATTGACAATATAGAATAGGATACAGTCATGAGAAAGTCACACACACTGATATGGATAACACTCCTAAGTATAATGCAGAAAACAAAGATTGGCAAAATCCATTCATGCCATTAGAAACCCAGAATTGGGTTATACCTGGTAAGGACAGGAACCACAAAGAAGGTGTCTAGAGTGCTGGCAATATTCTGATTTTTCACATTGGTGATGGTATTTGTAGCATGTTAACTTTATGAAAATACACAGGGCTGTGTGTATTTAGGATTGATGTACTTTTCTGTAAGCATTCATATTTCACAAAAATACACAAAGTATGCATGGAAAAATTACTTGAGGAGTACATTAGAAGCAAACAAAATATCTTAAAAGTCTTAGTTCCATAGAAAACAGTACTACATTGATGTTTAATATAAGGGTCCAGTGTTTTTCAAGAACACATTAATGTGCTGGGCCAGGTGGAGCACACCTGTAATCCCAGTGGAATGGGAGGCTAAGGCAGGAGGAGAGGAAGTTCAATGCCAGCTTAAGCAAATTAGCAAGATCCTATTTCAAAATAAAAATAAAAAGGCTGGGGATGTGACTCAGTGGTTAAGCACCTCTGGATTCAAATTCCAGTTCCCCCCAAATTAAAAATACATAAATGCATAGACAAAATACAATGGTCTATGGAAATGTATTAGTCTTATTATGTCTTGGTGACTTACTCAGAAGGGATGTTTGTGTCTATATAAATGGACATTACCTTTATACTTTAGAATGTGTCATAGGAATAGCCTTCCATCTACATACTTTTAAAATATATTTTTTTGTTTTTTTTTAAATTTTAGGGATCAAACCCAGAAATAGGCCATAACCCCAGCCCATTTTTCAATTTTTTTTTTTTTTTTTTTGTATTTTGAGGCAGGATCTCTCTAAGTTGCTTAGTATCTCACTAAGTTGCTAAGTCTGGCTTTGTACTCATGATCCTCTTGCCTCAGCTTCCCAAGCTACTGGGATACAGGTATTCATCACTGTACCCAACTACAATACAGAATTTTATGTGAAAATTTTATCAAAAGTTGGAGTTTCTTTTTTAAACCATTCATAGCTGATATGCTGTGAATTATTTTTAAGGAAATGCGGTTGGATCTATTGCCCAAAGTGCAGCAATTCCTTAGGATTATAAATTCTTAATGTGATATCTTATTATACAATCATGATGAGTCAGTTTGGACCTGAAGGAAACCATTAAATAAATGTACCTGGTTTTCTCCATGGCTTCTATCTCAAAAAAAAATTAAATAAAAATGTTAAGAGAATAGACACATTTAAGGGAAGGAAGTGTATTTCAACTGCTTAAAGATTTTAGCATTTAGGAACATAAATTATTGTTCTGATTTTAGTGTTTATCCACTTGGCATCTCATTTTCTATTCAGGTCTGTTGTTATTCATGGCATATATTATTTCTGAATCTCTTGACATTTCTAAATATTTATGGTAACATTTTTTTTGTTCCCCAAAGCAAAAAGTTCAGATCAAAGGATGGAAATATGTGAACTTTGACTTAATCTAGGTCCAAGTCAATGATAATTCACTGAAGCTAAGACACCATCATGTATTGCTAAGAAAGAAAAATCCTGCAAAATTTTGGTATCCCATGGACCATAAGTAGTATTTTTATTCCAGAAATGTGAACATATTTTTAAAATGCAGATTCTAGAATCTATGAAATATGTCAGCGAAGTACAGAATGTTTTAAGGTCAGGCTCTTTCCTAATAAATGTTTCCTCAACATTGAATATGATGCTATATAGGCTGGCACTAACCCTTGGGATGCCTTCCTGCAAACTAAATTAAAGGGTGCTCCCTTGAGACATCTTACTGCTGGATACTGTTGAGATACCTGTACAGATGTATGGTGTCTTTACTGTGAGTGGTCCCCCCATCGAGATGGCACTACGGAATCTGCATAATTATTTACTGAGCCTCTATGGACACAGTGTCAAAAACTGTTAAACACTCTCTGTGAATTCTTTCATTTCACTATAAAGTAGTACAAGTGTTTTAAATCCTTAAAGTGGCTGCTGTGGGTGTCCTGCCCAGATTTCCCACACATCTGGTGCACCCACCGTGTCCCAGCTGTAGGAAGGGTTGGCTGCAAACAGCTGCTAGTATCCCTGTCTTTGCCCAATTGCCCTCAGCCCAAAGGAAGACCCTGATCCAGAAGATTATGCCTCTGCCCACTGACTATACAAAGATGTGAGAAACTGACCCTCTTGCTTAAGAGGAGACTGAGCCTGGGGGACAGTTCACCCTCCTGAGCTTCCCTGGGATCGGGCAGAAGCTCAACAGCAGCTGAGACACACCCTTGTTCAGCTGCTGCCTCTGCCCTATGTCCCTGCTTCATTTCCCTCCCTTGGGAGGCCTTCAGTCAATCACATGAACCTGAATATTCCCTTGTGGGCTCAGCCTCTAAGGAATCCCAACTTAAAATAAAATAAAATACAAATGAAGAGAAGTTGGTAACCCAGCCATGAATTAGCAGGAGATAGAGACAGACTAAAACCTGGATCCATTTGGCATCTGACTTTACTCTTAAGCTTCAGTTGGCCAAGATCAGACAGCTGTCGCTCACAGAGCAGGTTGCTGCTCCTCTGTACCGTCAGTCCTTCCTGTCCCTTAGCTCTTATGCTCCTTGGTTGCAGAAGTGGAAGCACAGACGATTGAAGAGCTAAAGCAACAGAAATCATTTGTGAAACTTCAAAAGAAGCACTACAAAGAAATGAAAGACCTGGTGAAGAGACACCACAAGAAAACTACTGACCTGATCAAAGAACACACTACAAAGTATAATGAGATTCAGAATGACTACTTGAGAAGGAGGGCAGCTCTGGAGAAGTCAGCCAAAAAGGACAGCAAGAAAAAGTGAGTTAAATGAGTATCTGTTTTACCACATGAAGAGTCAATTCCATGGCTCGCTGATGTTGTGTTTTTAATGCCATATTGTGTATCTATCCCACCACCAAAAAAGAAAAGCCACCAAGCACTTTCCGTTCTCTATAACTCTTTCTATTTTTATTTTTTTGAGGGGGTGGGGACCAAGAATTTCCAGGGGCACTTAACCACTGAGCCATATCCCTGGCCCTTTTTATGTTTTTTTTACTTAGAGACAGAGTCTCACCAAGTTGCTTAGAGCCTTGCTAAATTGCTGAGACTGGCTTTGAACACGTGATCTTCCTGTCTCAGCCTCCCAATCCGCAAACAGCTCCATTCTGTATGGTTTTTGAGTCACTTTTGCTTGTGGGAAGAACTTACTGATTTTTTTCTTTTATCATTCTCCCCCTCCAATGCCCCCTTCACCTCCAAGAGATAGGGCCTAGCTCTGTTGCTCAAGCTGTTTCTCAACTCCTGGACTCAATTGATCTTCCTGTCCCAGCCTCCCGAGCATCTGGGATTATAGGTGCACAGTAGCAGGCTCAGCTGTGACTTTCTTTATTTAGCCGAATTCTGAGAATAGACATCAAGTTTTCCTTTAGTTCTTTCTGCTCATGGACCTAATCTCAGTTGACTGACTGCCTATATTACAGCTGCCAATCTGGCAGGCATAAAAACATGGCCTTATGTCCCTAGAACCTATTTGAAGAGGCAGTTTGTCTTAGAAAAAAGAGAGGCCTCAATTCTTACAGCCCTATCTCCCATAATGCCTTGCATTATGTTTGGGACCGGGGTCCCCACAGCCTCATGTACCCAGAGCTTGATGGGAGAAGCATTTCCTTGCACAGGTATTCAGCTAATATTTATTTAATGCATATTATATCCCGGGGACTCAGTAATGAATATAACCTGCACAATTTTCACCCTCAAGTAGCTAATGAGGTAATGTGGGAAATATAAGCAATTAACAACGAATACCCCGAATAATTTCAGACTGTGATGAATACTATAAGAAAAGGATAATGTGATAGAGAATAGCTTGGGATAGGAGAGCCCTTCTGACATGTCAATCTATAAAGAGGTGATACGTAAAGAATAAATCATAACCAACTATGTAAGGGATGAGGGAGAATTATTCCATGCTGAGGGAACAGACAATGCAAAGGCCCTGTGGCATGGGAAAAAATGGATTCCAAGAACTCTGAATTTGCCAAAGTAGGTGAGACAGAGTAAAAAATGGGCAGAGTGAAACAAGATGAGGTCTGGGAAATTGGAGAGAGAATCATACCACTGGTTCCTCAGAGTTTGTATGAATAATCCAGAATTTATGTAAGTGCAATACGAATCCACTGGAAAAAAAATAAATGGAATTGTTGTGTCTAACTAATATTCTCAAAAAATGATTCCAGCTGCTGAATGAAAGAGAGACCCTTAGATGGGCTTCTCAGATAGATAGAGTCAGCAGGGATCTTCTTAGTCACAGGCTCTGATTCAGCAGGTCCAAGGTAGATAATGCTGTTGCTGCTGGTCCATGGATAGCACTCAAAGAGAGGGCTCAGTGTGGGAGCCAGGTGACCAGTGGGGAAACATTTTCATGAATCCAGCCAAGTGATGTCATATAATGGTTTGGTTTAGGATGATGTGGTAGACATGGAGAGAATAGATGGATACCTGACTTTAAGAGGAGCCTAGGATATGGGGTCGGAAACTTGGAGGAAACCAATCCATGTGGAGAAGAAAACTCATGCGGTCACTCCAGGCTAAATCTATTCATGGACTTTTATCTAGACCAGACAGATATATTTCACATTTTAAGGTACATGAGAATCGCTGAGAGAGCTTGCTCAGACAGGCTTCTGAGCCTCAACACAGAGTGCTGTCACATGGGCCTTGGGTGGAGCCTGAGCTTCTGAATTTCTAACAAGCTGCCAGGGTTTGTCAATGCCACTGGTCCAGACATTGCCATTGATGGCCCTGGTCTAGCATCCTTCAAAGTCATTTAAAAAATAGAAGGGTGGCCTAAAGGGCTCCTTGGGTCCAGTCTCTATCTACCTTCCCATCCTTAATCCCCAGTGCTCCATGCAAAACCTTGTAGCTCCTACTTAGATCCCACCATGATAAAATAGGGAATTAGGATTCTCCTGCATAATGGACTTTCTAAAATTGCAAATCTCTGCCATGAAGGCTGCAAGCCCTACCTCTAAACTCCAACCAAGGTATGTGCCAGTTGTCAGAATCCCAATTTTTGGATTATTGATTTCCATATGAATTTCAAAATATCATTTGCTCTTAGAATTCCACTTTGGGTTGTCATCATAGCTTACCCCAGACTTTGTGAACACTAGTATGACTGACCACACAGAGATTTCTCTTTTCACCTTTAGTAAGGGGCTGCTTCCAGTCCTAGACAAGCCCCTCTACTACATGTCAATGAAGATCCAGGCATGTAGGCTCTACTGGGTTTCTATGATTGCCATGCACCACTACATTAAAATAAATATATTGCTTCACAGTTCTGGAGGCTAGAAATCCAAAATCAAGGTACCAGCAGGTACCTGTTCTGAAAGGTCTTGGGGAGGAGCTTTCCTTATCTCTTCTAGCTTTTAGTGGTTGTGAGAAATACTTGACATACCTTGGCTTGTAGATTCTCTTTGCACAGGTGTACCTTAGGATAAGGTGATAATTTCCTTATTACCTTAATTTCCAAATAAGGTAATAAACTGAGCATCTGGGAAGGATATGAAGTTAGAGGGGACACCATTCCACCTAGAGCAAGTCTGGAGCATTTATACCCACTATCCCATGTATTTCCTACAGCAGCACCATGAAGTAGGTACAGCCATCACCAACCCTGGACAAGCAAGGACCTGAAGTTCAGTAAAATGGTGCTCCCACTAGTAGAACATGCAACACACAAGACTGCAGTCAGAGTGCAGCCATAGCATGGTACCCACCCCTACCTTGCCAAGAGCCCACCTGTGTCTATGAAATAGTAGATCTGGAACCTGCATCTCTGCAGGCATGTGACTGCTTCCTGGAAGTGTTTCTGGAGTCCTACAAAGGACTTGGAATCTTTATAACTGCCTTTCCTTCAATGTCTTACACCATGAATGGATACATGCAATAAAAATACCCAAATAAACAAATTTATTTATCAACTATCCTGTAAGGTCCAAAGTTATTCTTCTAAGTTTAGATTCCTGGAATGTTTGTGAACATCCTATGCAGGCTTGTAGCATGAATTTATTGACAATGAATAATATTTTGCAAAAGTAAGCTCTCTAATCAATAAGGTTCATTTTTATATACAAATATTCAAAATTTAATAATTAGGGAAATGGAAATAAAAATGCAGTACCTTAAATTTTATTTTTGTCTTTTTGGGGCACAAATAATCTTCATCTTTCTGAGGGTTTATTGAACTAAATATCAAAAATATTTATAACACTAACAGAATATTGTGAAAGGCATTGTACTAAAATCTTTGTAAACATTCACTCACACCGTTTTAAAAGTAAAATGTTATTTGTGATATTAAAATATATAGTTTAGGAGATTTATCATTTCCAAAATATATATTGAAATTGAACATGTATGTTCAATTTCAATATATATTTGGTATTTTAATGAATTATACATTACAGAGGTGAAAAAATCTTTTAAATTATTTAAAATTATCTCTCCACTTCATTCTCTGTAATTAAGGTGTACAAATTACTGTAATCAGATACCCTGAATTTCCATATATTGGCTAATGAATGAACACAATATGGTCAAAGATAATCCACTGATCTGCACAGCCCTAGGAAATCATATGTGGAGTTAACTGTGCAGTTATTCAAAGTTTTCTAGGAAACATCGTCATTGACTTTCTCATTAAAGAGTCTCTCAGTGGTTTGACTTATAATAATCTCCTCTGAGAAATAAAGCTTTGTTCTTTAAATGAAAATGTGATAAATCAGCCTGCAACTGCATGAGCATGTGAGCCAGGAATAAGGCAGGCAGCATTCCATCCTTCCTTTCCACCCTTGTTGAATCATCTTATTTTGATGCCAGGTCGGTGATAGAGGTAAGATGCATGTTTTAGATCCATATTGTGACATATGATGTAATGGGTGCCTCCCTTGAAAGCACAATCAAAATGCAACACTTGAGATTTAAAAAGTAACAAAATCATCTTTCTTTAGAGCTGGAACATACTTAGAAGCCATCTAGGTGAAATTTATCACTTCTTCAAGGAGGAAGTTAAATGCTAAAGACATTAACATTTACCTGCAATGACAAAGCTGGTATAGGCAAAGTGTGGCCTAAGACATCTCCAGAGTTTCTCCTTTAGTGATATGTGCATATATGTTTGCTTATTCATTTACTTATAAGTCACATTTTGTAAGCTTCCAATAGAGTATCAAAATAGCATCATAGGTGACATGTATGTAAAAATCCTACAAAAATAAAAAAACAGTACACACTCCCATACACACATGAACAAACTGAGTTTTCAACCTGTTATCTAGATCTTTGCTGCTGTCCACATGTTGACTATTGAACTCTTGAAAATGGCTCACCTGGATAAGGGGCACAGCTCAGTGGTAGAGCAGGTCCCTAGCTTATGCAAGGCCCTGGGTTCCATCCCCAGCAACTACAATTAAAATGTGGCTTGTCAATATTGAGATATTCTGTAATAGAAAAATACACACTGCATTTCTAAGGGTATAATATCAAATAGATCCTTTAACTGCATGTTGAATTTACAATATTTTAGATGTATTAGATTAAATAAAATATACTATATTTTATACTGTTTATTTATTTGTTAATTTGTTTATTTATTGATTTATTTTGGTGGTGCTAGGGCCTGAACTCAGGGCTTTGTGAATGCTAGATCAATGCTCTACCACTGAACTACAACACAACCCCTCACTTATTTTTACTTTTTAAGGAAGTTACTAAAAGTTTTAAATTACATGGACAAATATCATGTGTAGCTCACATTGTGTTTCCACTGGACAGTACAACCCATTTAATGTAATTTCTGTCCTTGAACACTGAATTAACCTCTTAGTCTCTGAGAAAAGGAAATAAGGATCAGATAGTTCTCCTTATCTGATTAAGGGAAACTTACTTATTCTTTCAAGAGAGACTAATATTTCCCAGTACTAAATTACCATAGAATCTATTTCATGCATCTTATATAAGCAGCATTTGGGAATAATGCCTTCAACCCTGTTTTTATAGAAGATGTGGAAACATTGTTCACATAGTTGTGTTCATATACTATTCCTTCAAACAACAACAACAAAAAACAAATCATCAAGTACATACTATTTAAAGATACATTAGAAGAAACAAAGCCACCAAGGTCTTGGTTATGTCTGTCTGCATCTCCCTTATTTCATGATAAAATCCTGAATATACCTCAGAATAACAACTTGGCATCATGTCCATTAGACTATTTTCTTACTCAAATTATCCATTGTCTCAACTGAGCTTTCCATATAATGTGCAGAACAGTTTACTCAAAGATAATCTTTTTTCAGACATGGCATGTGATGATACTGTGCTGTTGTGAAAGGCACAGGTGTTGTCTGTCTGTGTCTCCCAGGGATGCTTGTCCACAGGCAAGTGTACTGCAGCACCCCTATGCTGTGTCCTTGAGCAAAATGTCTCACTGAGATCCGGGGTCCTCACATAATTCTGGAGAGGTCAGGCCTAAATAGCAAGCTGTTGTGAGTGCTCCTGGCACATGTTGAGTAATCAGTAAATGAGAGTTGCCTCTGCTGTGGTTCTTGCAGCTGATTGAAGAAACACTTTTACGTTCTGGCTATACTGACTTCCAACTATACAAGATGATAAATGTAACTTATGCTCAAGCCAAGATGGCAGCCATCTCAGAAAATTCAATGCAAGTATCCATGAGCATGGGAGAGTGGTGGTACTCATTTAGCAATGCACATAAAAAAAAAAAGAAAAAAATTTGGGGGAGAGTTCTGCATCTTTCATTTGACTAAATAAGCTCTTAACACCAGCTTCCTGTGAGGCCAATGATGCTAAGCTAATTCAAAGAAAAAAATAACGGGAATTAGTAACAGCTGATCCTAAGAAACATTCTCTTCCTAATTCTATCTGATTGCTAATAAAGAAGATGGAGGCAAAGTCCAATGTGATGAATGTCATGGGAGGTTTGGTCTGATTTCTGAGGGCTGCTCCATATGAACAAAAACAGCAAATCTCCTCTGTTTCTTGTTCCCAGTACTCTGTCTCCCTTTCTATTGTTTTCTACATGTTATAATACAAAGTACAAAATTATACGAAATCATGACATGAGTTAGGGAGAATTGTTTTAACCTATTTGAACACTAGTCCTAACCTTTTAAAGATCTGTTTAACTCTTTAAGAACAGTGCAGAGAAAGTCCTCCTGCACAGAATAAGCACTCAGTATGAAGTGCTTATTCTAAGAATATATATATATTGCACTATATGCATCTCCTTTCCTTTGTAACTGAAGCACTTTGAGGAAAGTACCATTTGGGTAGTGATGTTGCTGCTGGTGATGAGAATCAATCAGTGCCAAGTTTAGTTTCCCCGGAATGTTGAAGATAGAACTCCTGAGAAATGCCAAGGCAAGCCTAGAAAGCAAGTTTTATTTAAAAGGTAGAATAGAGGTAAACTTCTCTGCAGAGAAGGGGTCTCAGAGCTGGGTGTTGAGGAAGTGGGGGTGTCCTGCCTCTTTTATACACTTTAGAATTCCTTTGTTCTCTTGGCCTCTCCTACCCATCCTGACTATGTGACTGGTAGCCAAAAAGTGGGCCAAAGATGGGAGAGAAGCTTTCGAGGGGTACCTCTCTGTATCTGTCCAAAAGGTCAGGGAAGGAACCACCCAGAAGGTACTTCATTGTACTCCTACAACTCCTTAGAGGGAACAACAATTCCTTGGAGACAGGAATCCTTGGCACCAGGTGGAGGAGGAGGGGGAAGGCTTTGGAGATATTAGCATTTCATTTCCTCCAGAATCAGCTCCTATTTTTCTGACCCAGTCATTTATTACCTACACTGACTGTCATGTGCCCTGAGCTCACTGATATCAATTAAGTTGATTCAGCCCCCAAAGAACCATATTTTATAATGTGCCCTTGCTATTAAAAATCTTTAAGAAACAGAATTCAGAAGTTTTCTGGGAAGGTTATCTGCACAGGATGTCTGTACCTGCTCTCTATTTTCAATCCATAACACTCCATATGCAAAATATGGCACATCTTCAACCTTCCCCGAGAGAGAGAATCCACTCAACATAGTAAAAAGTTTTTAGAGAGAAAATGGAGCTGGGATGACATTATACATGCCACATTAAAAACAAATAAGTAAACAAGAGGAAGGTCTCAAAAATCTTTACTAGACAGTGTTTTTCCCAAACAGGATTACCATTCTCACCACCCCCATAGTTAGGACTCTCAGCTTCCTGGCTTGGTTAGGACTCTTAGCTTCTTGGCTTCCCGAGTTTCCTTTTCTTTTGGCCCCTGCCTCTTCCTGGAGCAACACAAATTTCATTGTTTCTGTAATTTAATACCTTCTGTTGCTAAACTTGACTTTGAAGTCTCATCCTCTAGAACAAGTAGCTTATCAAAAAAATTATTTCCAATATTATTGAATTCAACACTGGGCTAATCAAAATATTCATTTCCAAACACGATGGCTTCTCTAGGAGGAACTCTTGCAGACAGCCTTCCCTGCGCTTTATTACCACCTGTATGCTTTGTGAGTCAAGCTTTGTGTCTTTGCAGATCAGAGCCCAGCAGCCCTGACCATGGCTCATCAACAATTGAGCAAGATCTTGCTGCCCTGGACGCCGAAATGACCCAGAAGTTAATAGACCTGAAGGATAAACAACAGCAGCAGCTGCTTAATCTTCGGCAAGAACAATATTATAGTGAAAAATACCAGAAGCGAGAACATATTAAACTGGTAAGCCCAAGAAATATGATTCATGTTTGGGTGGCTGAAAACCTCTTTCCTATAGAAAATGTTTTATACTCTGGCGTAATTCAAAGGGCACAAGGGCAGGTGCGAATGGTACCATCTTGGGAGACCATGGAGGCCACCAGCTGTCTACCATGCTAATATTTTCTACACTCTATTATTCTACCATCTTCACTAAGCTCTTCTCTATTCCCTCAATGTGGCTATGCTTTATTGTTTTTATTGACCCTAACTCATTTTGGGGATATGAGTTTTTGGGGTATCTTTGGAATTACACAGGATAGTAAATAAATTCTTAGCCTTACTTAACAAAATTAAGAACATGAAGCAAGTAAATTCTAACATTTTCTTTATCACTGAGCTTCTCAAGAAATAAAAAAAATTACACAGCTCACTCTCCTACATTTTAAAGGGTCAACATCTAAAGGACCAAGGACTGATAGGAAATGTCATCTTTCCAATTTCTGAGACTCCCTATGGAAACAAACCCCATCCTCTCCAGTAAAGATCAGTTTCACCACCCACCACCACCACCATTTTTTTTTTCATGTGACATTTTCTCCCTTGTTGAGGTTTTGACACATAGTAGGGACACAATTAATATTTAAAAACAGCTATATTAAATAAATTCAGCAATAAAGTAGTCTTGAAAACAAAATAAAGTAGCCTCAAAAACAAATCAAATGAGTAATCAATAAAAATTAAAGCAGTGAATCCAGAGGAAATGGGTTGTAAGAGGTATTTCTATGATCTGTCTATTTCTTGCTGAGGGTCTGTACATATAGAATTCTGAGGCTGTTTCTGCTTATATGGTTGGAAATCTGCAGATGGTTTAGCCATTACTGTGTGAAAAGGGATCACTGTGAGTACTTGCAACTCCATGATAATATGCAAAGGATTCATATGAATGGGTTATCAAAAGCCAGACTCCACTTGATCATTTATTCTTAACATAAGTGTAAGTCAAGATAACCTGGAAAATTTGTTAAACGTTAGATTGTTAAGCCCTATCCCAAATTTTAATTCAACAGGAGTCTTGCAGAGGTAGTATTGATTATACTTCTGTTCCTAGGAACATGCTTTGAGAACCACTTCCTGATACCCTAAAGGAGTATCAGAGCTTTGTTTTTAACAATCTTCACAAAATTTTGATGGAAGCAGTGAAAGAACAGTCTGGCTGAGCTTGGTTTGGGTGCAAGGAGGGGATTGCCTTGACAAACCTGAGAAAGGCAATACCAGTTTTATCAGGAGATAATGGCTTTGAGACCCAGCCATGATCACGGCCATGTGACTTTCTTCACTGAGTGACCCAGACCTACTACTCTAGAATATAATGATTATAAGAATAAAAATAGCAACTGTGCATTGGACCCTCACTAGGGGGTCATAAACTAAGTCATTTATGGAAACTTAATCCTCATACCACTGGCCTTTGTTACTATTTTCAGTCCATTTTGTGTTTTTTAAAAAAAATAAAGAAAATAGAAACATTATTTACTTTTCCAGGGTTCCACAACTAGAAACTGGTATTTGGGGGATTTGATTTTTGGTCTTCCGATGCTAGACCCCCTACTTTAGGACCATTATGTAGGTGCCTCTTATAATTCACATTCCATGCCATGTCCCTAAACAAGAACAAAAACAAATAAGTGGGCAAAAATATGCCATATACTAGGTAGGAATAAGGGCTTAAAAGAAAAAAAACTATCATAAATAGAGAAATTGGAGCAGAGACTGGGGAAGGATGAAGAGTGGGTTTACAATTTTAAAGGAAATAGGTGGGGAAGGACTTGCTGAGAAAGCAGCATATGAGTCAGGAGGCAAAGGAATGACCCCTACAACACATGGAAGAAGGTTTTTCTAGGCAGAAGATATGACACACACAGACTCTGGGATAAGAGTGGGCCAGATAGAGCAGGGTAGCTCTGTCTGAGAAAGGTGATAAGGTGTCAAGTTAGAGTGATAGAACTTTTAGGGTGGCAGACACATCTTCTTGGTCTTTAGGCTTCCCTAAGGCCACTGTGTTTCACTTGGAGTGAGGTGGGAACTGTTGAAAGTTTTGAACAGAAGATGACATGATCTAAAGTCACAGTGACCACTCTGGGTCTGTCTTGTCCTGGACATGGTGAGAACTGGTCCTTCAGGCAAGGGCAGTTCAAGCCAACCGTGGACCAAGAGGTTGAGAAGTCCTGGCATTTACCAGCAGGTGACTCAAGTTCACCAATAGAATGAATGTTACTTAGAAGTCTACAAAACCCAGCCACCATCATCTGGAGTTTCCCCAGGGACCCAACCCTTGAGCAAGACTCCATTTTCCAAGAAAAGAAACATGGCAATTTTTTTTCACACACACACACACACACACACACACACACACACACACACACACACACACAAACTGTGGCAGAGTAAGAGAGTATCCTAATATTCATAGGAGATTCCCAAAATAAGAATACTGAATAGAGATTAAAAACAGAAGTCTAGATTTCCTAAGAAGGCCTATTGGGAGGAGTGAACTTGAGCTGCAGAAATGGGATGCAGAAATCACAGAAAAGAACGAAAAAATCCAACATTCCACGAGCAATACCTAGATAAAAAGCAGCATATGTAATTCCAGTAAAAAGAGTGTGAAAATCAACTCAGTAGGTTTTCTCCTGAAGGAGCAGGTTGGTTTAAAGGTCCAGGCAAACTTATAAATGGGAAAACCTCACCCAAGAAGCAGAGGAGGTGGTGTGCATTTTAAAATTTTATCTGTTCATCTATTGAAGGGCATGTAGGTTGGTGCCACAGTTTAGCTATTGTGAACTGTGCTGCTATAAACATTGATGTGGCTGTGACCCTGCAGTATGCTGTGTTTTTTTTTTTAAGAGAGAGAGAGAGAGAGAGAGAGAGAGAGAGAGAGAGAGAGAGAGAATTTGAGAGAAAGAGAATTTTTAAAATATTTGTTTTTAGTTTTTTGGTGGACACAACATCTTTATTTTATTATTATGTGGTGCTGAGGATCGAACCCAGTGCCCCATGCATGCCAGGTGAGAGCACTACTGCTTGAGCCACATCCCCAGCCCGTAGTATGCTGTTTTTAAGTCTTTTGGGTATAGACTAAGGACAGGGATAACTGGGTCAAATGGTGCTTCCATTCCCAATTTTCCAAGAAATCTCCATACTGCTTTCCATATCGGGTGCACCAATTTGCAGTCACACCCGCAGTGTATGAGTGTAACTTTTTCCCCCACATCCTTGCCAACACTTATTGTTTTTTGTCTTCATAATAGCTGCCATTCTGACCGGAGTGAGGTGAAATCTTAGTTTTGATTTGCATTTTAGAATTCAGAAAAAAAATAAGTACATTTCTATGTCAGCCTGGCCCTTTGGGAAAAATGTAAGCAATGTATTCAAAATGCTCATTTCTTCTACACTATGATTGTGGATTTGGGCTTCAGTGAATTCCCAATGCCTTTTGAACAAACATGTACAGACCTTTATTAAGAAGTCAATGGCTGGAACACTTTGGATTTAGAACAACACAGAGTTTATTTCATGGCCACTTGGGGGCATCCACAGTTGATTCTACATACCTTTAGCTGCTATACGTACATAGCAGCTTCACTTGTAATAACTAGAAATTATTCTGCCAGGGAACCTTTTTAACTGAAAGGTACCCAGAAGTTTCAGTTCTCTTTGGTGGTGGTTTTAAGTGATGAGCAGGTTTCTCAGGCTAAATCAGACCAATGAAAATGTAATTAAAAAGTGAGTAGGCCCCAGGTAAAAAGGAATATTTGAGCGATGAGAAAAATTAAGCAAGAGATATTTCATCTCCCAGAATTCTTTGAGGATTAAATACCAATATGCTTTGGCTAAGGATTATGCATTTCAATGCTGGTACCCACAGATCAAGAATCAATAAAAAAGCCATAGAATTAATAAATTACTTCACAGATGTTTATTGAACACTTCATATTTGTACAACACTCTGATAGATAGAAATAAAAATGAATTAAACTTAAGACGTGGTTGCTGCACACATTCAGGGAGTATGTGTAACTAATAGTTCTAATAAATGAAAGCAAACATGTAGCAATAATTTTCCTAACTTTATAAACTGATAAACTCTATAAATTTACTAACTATGAATCAACATAATATCCTAGCATTATAAATTAATAAACCCTTCCTTCCTTTCTTTTTCTTTTCTTTCTTTCTTCTATTCCTTCTCTCCCTCAGCACCCCTCTCTCTTTCTCTGTGCTGGGAATCATGCCTAAGGCCTTATGCATGCTAGACAATCACTGTACCACTGAGCTATACCACCACACCAGCTCCTCCATGTATTCTAATCCATTCTAATCCATCCATTTCTCCCTTACTTCCCCTTGTCCTTGGTACCTCATAGTCTTATTACAGATCCTCTTGGCTGTCACACCAACAATCATTCCAAAACCCCAAACCAACATTAGTACCCACTAACCTGAGTTCCCCATTTCCGTGCCAATCCCAGTAGACTGAATACTATGTTTCAGACTGAAATCTCTGGGAAAATACTTATGGGCTATAAATTAAATGGCAACATCAAAATGTGATAGCAATGAGTAGGGCTCTAGAATCAAATGTCCTCATTTTAGGACACTGTTCCCTTCAATGTTCTCATCTGCCCAGTGGAGAATGGAATAATTCTCACCTCTTTCAACTGTAAAGAAGAGAAATAACAAGCACAGAAAACATTGCTTTTCATGAACCCCTGCTATTTTGGTGCAATACATGAATTGGCTAATAAATTTATACATCACATATAAATGTGTATTATAGCTATTGACATCCCGCTGCAGCTTGAGGGAACTCGTCATCTTCCTTTGATGATTTGTATCAGCTCCACATGTTGTTCCAGCTGTCTGGAAAATGCTCTTGCATTTCCTTCTTTTTGGGGTCACTCAGCTGAAGTATATATGCCAGGGGCAATTGCAATGCAGACATAATCTCTATTGATAATGTA